CCAACAGTATGGAGCCTACGATGCAAGGAAATGGTCAAACCAGTGGCCAAAACAGTGCACGGATGCTGTATTTTGTGCAAAACTTGGGACAGGTATTACATGATCCCTACTCAAACATTAGACAAGATTTGATGAATGCCATGCATGAATTAATGAGTGATCAAAAAAATATATCAAGATACATAAATCAATGATCATTTAATGTTATTTGAAATCCAACATTAAAGGAAGGAAATACCAACCTAGTGATAATTCCTGCAGAAAACAAGGGGCAACCAATGATGGAATATAACATGGGTCCTAGTTTTCAACATCAAAATCACTTTAACATGATGTTTGAAGGAGAACCTATGGAGGGTTTTTCAAATTTTTATCACCCTAGAAACCGTAGGGGTAGAAATGGGCTAAGAATGACTCAAGAGGGGTCGTGAGAGGTACCCCATGCCTCATATGAATCCAGTTGAGGAGATGAACCTCATACTTGGTTGGCAACCCTTGGAACCATTAAAAAATATAGAAATTCATAACATAACTGTCAATAGAAAGCAATTAATGGAGATGATTCAAGACCTGTATGGTCTTGGCCTTCGAAGGACAAAAGATCAATTTTTAGAAAGCCATATCCCCATGGGTAGACTTTGAGGAGTTTTCTAGAGGTAGAAAATCCTTGAATTCAACTTTTTTGATGGGGAAAAGAACGTCCACTATAGAAAATATTGGTAGGTTTACTTTTCAGTGGGGTGAAATTGGGAACAATGGGAATTTGCAAATGAATTTATCTCACAATCCTTGACCAAAATTCGAATTTCATGGTTCATTAACTTGCCAACTAATTCAATCTAGGCATGGAAAGAGATTAAAGAAAATTTCCATGCTTAATTTTTTAGAAATGAACTAGAAGTGTCAATGCCGAACTTATCTAGATTAAGGCATAAGCCTAATAAGTCTGCATAATAGTACATCGACAGATTCAAAAAAAGGAGAAACAAATGCCATGCCTAAATGCCTGAGATAGAAATTGTAAAATTGACCTAGAATTATTTAAACTTTGAATTAAGAAAGAAATTTGAAGGAATGGAGTTCTGAGGGCCATTAGGTATGAAATGTTTCTTAGAGAAGAGCAACAAAGAAAAAACAGTGTGTTGGGCACTATTACCAAGATCTAAATGGACACAAGGAAATTGATGTTGCACAAGTAATAGGAAAATCCCCAATTATGTGTGACACTTTGAAAAAAATAGAAGATCATGTAAACATGCCATCAAATCACCCATTCAAAAAGGATACACTATCGACATATCGATAGTATTCTTTTGATTTGTCCGTCGCTGATGCTCTATTCGATGAGGAGATCAACCAGGAGTTCATAACTTTTTAATAGAAACAAGTTGTTCCTCTAAAAAAAGATAAAAAGGAAAAAGAGTATTACAAATGACATAATTCATTTCGACACTTAATTAAAAATTTCATTACTTTCAGAAATCGTGTGCAAGATTTAATACAAAAAGGGATGCTCAAATATCCTTCCAAAAAAAAAATGTGAATTTTGCTAATACGCAAGGATCCAAAAAAGGTTGCTAGTTCAATTGTGAACGAAAAAGAAGAGAAAGAAAAGGGAAGAATTGTCCCAAAGATGAAGCAGCCAATTACCAGCAAGGTTGGCGCCTAAGAGGAAGAAAAGCCACTGATTATGTGCTTCAGACGTGTAAAAGAATTGGCAATGCCAGAAGCCATATCTCTAGATGATATTATGTCTGACTTCACAATCAGAGGGCTTCTAGTCAGTTCCAGAGGGGAAGGAGACTCCCAACTCTATAATGGTACTTGGAAACTCTTCGATGTTGTTGACCCAGGAATCTTTAAACTACAAGAAAGATACACTCATGAAAATGGTCCATACCATTTTTCAGAGGAAAAATAGGCACCAAGGAGAACAACTTATCATGGGAAAGCCAAGAAAGAGTGGCTTTAAAAGATGAATTATATAGCAGGGACTTCTAATACCAAGGAAAGTGTGTGGCAGAGGATAAGAAGAGAAGAATGCCTAGAAGAGAAAAGACGAAAAGAAAATAAAGTTTGAAGCCAAGGTTGCAAGTGGGCTCAGGATGGTTGTTTTCCCTGAAATAGAAGGTGACAATTGGCATCGCTTTCAACACCCAAAAATCCAATATGGTGGTTGGTATCAACCACTAATTAGAACCCAAAAAAGAAAAGAGTAGAGAAAATTTGTACTGGGATGACCAAACTCCTAGGGAGGCCTATACACCAAAAGAAGGCCAACCTAAAGGAAAGAAGCAGAATGTGATTTGAATTAGGGATCAGAGTAAAAAAGAAGCAGAGAAAGTTCAAAGTCAATAAACAATTCTAGATCAAAAGATTACAGAATTTAAACAAGCTCCAGATCTAAATGAAGAAATCCATAAAAAGACAGACAAAGAATCTACCTAGAAATATTTTTGTTGGTCAAGGCATTGTTTTTGTCTGGTTTAATTATTTTCAGCAACTTTGAATTCTGTGCAGTAAAGATACTTTGGAAGAGAAAAAATAAACAAGAAAAAAAAAAAGGATATAACAACAAATCAACAATGGTATACGCTACTGGCTGGGCAGATTGCAGGGAAAATGGTTAAACATTAATATGAAAATATGTTGAGCATTTCAACTCTGTTTGAAAATGTTGCAATTGACCCCAATTGTTTTTTGTGTTGCAAAAAGGGCTCAACTTGAAAAAGCTATTAACCTGTATTTTATTCATCATGTAACAATCTAAGGGGCCATTTGGGATGAGTTACGAAATCTGAAAAGTACTTGTCCTGTTGGTCATTTAGCTCTCCTTCCTTGTGGTGCAAAGACAAAGATTTTAGTCTGAACCTACATCCCTACTATGGTCTATGGGCTTAAAGGAGCTCACTAGATTGATCGCAAGTAAAAGAAACCTTTCAGCTTTAAACTCACATTCGCATCTTGGTTGTTCTTCATTAACTATCAAAGTTTGACCAAAAAAAAGCAAAAAACTTAGGTAAAATGATCAACAAGACGTACTTATTTGATACACAGCTACTAATACAGCTTCCAATGTCAATATATATCATATAAAATGGAGATGATGTTTGATGCACGAAAACGTGAATAGAGAAATTGGATTAGACAATAGAAACTATAACTTGTTGATTATTACAATAATATCAAATTATAGCCCTCAAGAGCTTTGTTGATTTCTAAGTATATCAAGACAATTGGAAATTGAAAGAAAACTCTTCTCTAAATTTTATTCAAAATAATCCAAACTTATTGAATAAGTTTTCACCACAATATAAATAAGAAACCCCAATGGCTCTAAATTACCAGAAAAGCCAAGTGAATAAGAATTATTATGAAAATACTCTAAAAAAAAGGGATAAAAATAGTAAACTGTCTAAAAGTTTCCTAAACGTTATTTTTTGGTTAAAAACAATTGGATTGAAGGCATATTTCAATTTGGTCAGATCGCCGAGAGCTTTTCGGGATGGAGTCCTTTGTAATTTTTTGACAATGTCGGCAAAAATCAGTTCTAATTGGTGCTCAATCAACACTGCTTTTGACGGTCTTGGTCTGTCATTTAATTCTTTCCTATATGTGCTGCATCAATGGTGGTGGGAATTTCTTGCAACACATAGGCTAAAAGAGACCTCAATAAGTGAAAAAATTTCTTACCTGTCTTTTTTCTCTCTTGAGAAGTGAGATCTGAACGCATATCATCCATTGTAACTTCAAGGGTTTCATGAGATTTAGGTGTGGAAAAGACACTAAAGAAGTTTGGAATAACTCCGCAAGTTCTCAACAAGAGTGTACTATAGTCAATGATCATGAACATCTAAAATTTTATTAGACTTGAATCAGAAGGGGGAATGACAGTTTGTATTCTTAAAGATTTTTGAATCCTTCATTTACACATTGAAAGATTAAAATTCTGAAATTGCACCATCAATCTATATCTATATCTGAAAGTACTTTAGAATGAAAACTTTTTGATTTACTATTATACCCTTATAAAAAATTATAAAGGCTCACATGTCATTTTGTATTTAAATATACAACTTACCATTATATTCTTATGTATTTCAATAACAAACTAATTTCTAACATATCATGTAAATTTTTCTATCTTTGCAAAACTTTTGAATGGTCATGTTATGATTAACACGATATATAAAAATAATATTATTTATTTTTACCAAAACCCCAATATTAAAACACGTCGACAACTCCATTGATACAATATCACCTCCAATGCCAAAAAACGGATATATATAACTTTTTTCTTCATTTGTAATCAAAATAATTTGGTAACAAATTACTGAGGCATAAAGTAAAAAAAAAGAAAGACAGAGAGAAAAAAAATCAAGAAAAGAAAAATCTATAATCCTTGCTACTTGGTAGTTTGAAAATGAGTCCATTGGATGTTTATAGTTATGAAGGAAATGCAAAGAATTTAAATATGATAAATCTGAGATTATTTCTAATTTAGCTACATAATTATATTTTTTTATGTATTTTATCAAAGGTTCCAACAAAAAATTTTAGTAGTACATTGCTAGTCACATAAAATAATAGCAATGTAATATGTTTTAATAAAACTAAATACGTAATTTTCAAGTAAAATACTTAAAATTTAGTACTAAATACAAATGATTAAGCATAGAAATAGAAAAATATAAAGAGTAAAAAGATTAAAAAAAATTGTTGATTTGTCAATTTTAGACCATATTGTTACCTTTTTCACTGATTGAGGGTCAATACGAAATTTTATCTATTAAGAGTGTAAATTGGGACCCTGAAGATCTTTCAGGGTACAAAATATCATTCACCCAAAATCAGAATTCCATGCTTAACTTTTGATCCAAAAACGTGCGCGCGCGTGCGCGCGCGCTTAATGTGAGAGACCATAGACCTGATCTCCTCTAAGCCACATTTGAACAAGTTACAAACTTTGGATGATCCTCATTCATTTTTTCTTTTTTTTGAAAAGTGTGTTTATAATACAAATTTCTAAAACTGCCCATCAACACTTTAACCCGAAATACAGAATGACACCATTATGATACATTGATTTATATTCCCGCAGCTTCAAGAAAAACACAGATCTTAAAAACATCCTTGGTTCTCCAACAATGATTCCTGTGTTATGATAAAACAAATAACATGATTATTTCATCCAATGATTTCTCTAACAAGCTTCCTCATATGTAAAAACGATAGAAGAAGCTGCAGTTTATAGAAAAATGACTCGTAGCTTCCTTGTTCTACATCTTTTAGAAAGAAAACAAACTTGATATAACAAGTTCAAAGCTTAATGTTCAAGAAGTTCCATCTCTTGGACTTGTTGGTGAACTTGTAGCCAATGGAACAAAAACCCGTCCTCCAAAGACTGGCCGCATGAATTTGTCATCAAATTTTCTCCAAAAGTAGTGAACTGTGGAAGTAGGATATTTAATCAGCATACTCAAGCTACTTCTCCTAGTAATTGGGTGATTGCTGCTATTATTACTTGGGCCTCCCTTATCAATGAATGATAGTTGCAAGTCTTCTAGGCTAGTAAAGTCGGTTTCATCTGAACTCGGTAGTTTTGGGTGTCTTAGCATCACTGCTCCAATCAGGGGCTTTGTTATTGAACCGAACACCTGTTTGAAGAAATGAACTGCATATCACTATGCAAAAACCTAGAAGGCTTAATATCTTGCGGATAAATAAATGGAACGACCGTACTGAAGAGAATGGTACCAAATATTGATGGTTGGCTTTGAAATAAACAATTATTTTATAATTCGCCTTTTAACACTACCAGTCAACCTACCACTGTACTAAACAGAACGACAATTATGGTAGAAGTAATCATCAGAGAATGCTCGGTTGACGATGACCCTCCAGTTTCTGTGAACTGCAATAGTTTATGTACACCGATAATTATGCAATAGGTAAATGTTCCAATAATGAAGAAAGGAGATGGAGTAATATCTATACCTGGTTGTAAGACAATGCGATAGTAACTGCACCTCTCATCAGGCCAGCCCACCATATGATAAACTGGTATGGCAAATGATTAGTAGAACTAAGAATAAAATTAAAATAACAGCATTTGTGCTGAGATGCCTTACCTGTTTCCGGACCTCAATTTTGTCACCCTCTCTTTTTACAGTGCAATTATAAATATTTGCAATAGGAAACACGAATGCAGCCCTTCCAATCAGCACAAGTGCAAGTAAAGTGGAACTGACAGCTATTGAAGTTCCTACACTGAATCAAACAGTACGCAACAGGTTAAATAAATCTTTGTTGTTTTAGAGTCAAACATCAAATAGAAAATAATAGGACAAATTGTACTTCTAGTTTACATCTTCTCTGAAATTAAAAAGACATTATTCCACATGATTTTATATTGTGTAATGGCAACTCATATTACCTTTTTTGTGAATGTTTTAGCTTCTGAGCATTACCAAAATAACCTAATTTTTCATCCTAAAATTTGTTAAATTTAGCTTTCATGTGTATATTGAAGCATATTTTTGCCTAATGCTTTTTCTGGAAGAGAGAGAGAGAGAGAGCTAAATATCATTTCAAGAGGAATGGGTGAGAAAAATTTGTACGCGCTTTGTACAGCTAGAGATGGTGTCACAATAAAATGACCAATTATAGGGGTGCCATAATTTTTTTTTCTCCTTTTCTTTTTGCAAATGCTTCAAGCACTTAATTCTTGATTCAACACTTCTCTAAACAGATTATTCAATTTTTTACACAAACATTACTTATGCTTCTTAAATATATCTATGTCCATCTCTCCATGACATACATTCAGACATACCACCTGTAGACCTCCATTATTTTTGGCACCCCATGCCATATACCATCTAAGTTTTTAATTGGCAATATGACCCAAAAATCATAATTTATCAAACCTTTTTCGACAATTTAGGTTGCTCGTTAGCTAGATGCATCCAATTGTCTCACTCTCGCGAGCATGATGAACTAATTGGCAATCAACTAATAGATTTTGACAATTAAATAAGAACATCTTAACGTTACCTCGCATGGCTGCCTTTCCATTTGTCAATGTCCAGAGCATCCATACCCACATAAAGAAATATAAAAGTTTCTGCAATGAATGAAATTGTTGCAAATGCGTGCCTGTAATATCATATCAGTCCGAGAGTTAGGACTGCTTATCAGAATTCATGCTTTGTACCCCCAATTAAATATGTCTAGGTATCCTTCTCATTTATTCAGAAAGATCAAAGACTTTCTATCTCTATCGATTTGTGATCGAAACAGTTAATGTTGAAAAATTTGTAATAGATGGCCACATACAGAGGGATAGGTAAAGCTAACATGCAACAAGTGGGAGAGTGAAAATGTTGGGAAGGCTCGCAGCAATTAGGTCAGTACAATGGTAAGAAAATAAATAACTAAAATAAGGTAAAGTACACAAAGAAAGACAACATATCGGAATTTACTTGGTTTGGCAAAAATCTTGCCTATGTCCATGGGGCATGATCCAATCAAATTTTTTAGTTTTGAGAGAATTGAGAACAACAGTACAAACATCACCACTTAAGTTTAAATCCCAAGCTTGAGCCCTTGACCCCTTGTACACCTCACTCAATCTCATCACTCTCAAACTCCAGAAAAGAAACATCTCTCTCACTCAGAAAGAGAAACCCTCTCAAAATGTGAAAAAACTCACATTCCCTCCTAATTCCCCACTGAATTCCGATGACCGCGAATTCCTAAACCAAAATTCGGGTTCCCAGATACATCACATCACTGAGACGTTTTCATGCCTTGCCACTCGAACTTGATCTGTGGATGCCTATATATAGGCTATTGTTGAGGCGGTTTATGACTCCTGCACAATTAGAAATTGGCAGGTCCGATCCCTTCAATTTGAAGCTTGCAGCTGCTGCCTTTTGGTGTTTCTGCCACCAACTTCTTGTGGAGAAACACCAAAGGCCAAGCTCTTGTCTCCAGAAAATAGTTTAATGACCCATACACTTTCTTGAATTCCTATTGGCCAACTGTCTGGCGACAACCTTTTTTTAACAAATCACATGAAGGACTACCATTATTTCGTCGATGTGAAGCAATCTTCGCCATTACATGCAACCAAGATCAAGAGGAGAATAAGAAATTGGCTGCCAACTTGATTTATCCAATTGAATTGAGCCATATATTCAACAGAGAGAGAGAGAGAGAGAGAGAGAGAGAGCCTAATTATGGCTGAGAATTTTCATATTTTTAGCATAAAGCTAGTTTGTGCTTAGTTTTGGTTGGAATTTTGCTTTTGCCAACTTAACAATAATCATGCCCGTTCTTACTTTTTACTACTATGATCCAACTGGAAATGTGCTTGAGCTACCTTGTCTTGACTAGTGAAGAGATGCCTTTACTCAACAGTAAATCTGTTTTCTTATGCGAAACATTCTTCTTTTCCAATTGCTCATGTTATTAGCAAGTGAATCTGTGCAGATCCTTCTTTTAAATTCCCAGGTATGGTTTATATATTTCAAATTTTGCTTTCTACTCAGTGATATTCACTTTACTGTTGTTCTCTTGGCTTTTCTAGGAGTTCAGCGCTAAACCAGTACATCCTATTGAGGCACTATTGCAGTATTTATAGTAAGTTTTGTTCTAATTGCCATGCAATCCTACATTCTATCTTTGAGTTACCATATAAACGATAAATTATCCCTAATCAGGTCACTTTGTTAATGTGCACCTTGGCAATCTGCCAGCCCCAAGTAATTGGGAATTAAGGCTTAGTTGAGTTATACTATACTCATCACAAAAAGAGTTATATGGGAGAAAACTGGTGATAGATTTAGGTGTGAGCAGTGTATATAGCAACCGTTATTATGTTGTTCTCACACTAACCCTGGCTAGTTCTGATAGGATCCCTTTCCCAAGTAATATTCTGCAGATAATTTGAACCAAATAATTATACTTTTATTATTGTTGAGTAATAAAATCCTAAACATAATGATTTGAACATTATGACATGCTTCCTTAAAGCAAAAATATATTAAGAGGGAGAATTCTGTCTCACTTGGTTGTTATTCGAGAGCTTGCAGTAACATTGTGCCATGTGTAATGCGACATTACAATGCCACAGAAGAAAACTGTCAAGATCCCACTAAGATTTAAGAGCTGCAAAATGAAACAAATTCATCATTTCTCAAGACATCTGCATAAGGGATAATGCAATATTCAAAAGTCATTAAAATCTTTCCTTCCTCGAAATCTAGTAGCTTAAGTTTTGGTAGCTAAGTTATCAACCCTTATCCATATATAGCTCATTACAATTGCTTTGTTTATTTCTTTTTCCGATTAATCATCATCATGTTCTGCAATAGCATATGAAGCTATAATATCTGCCAGAACAATGCTCTGGATAGACAAAGGGCCGTTCAAAGAAGAATGAATCTTTTAGTCAGGGATTTCAAAGATCTTTACCCTTCAGAAGTGGTTAAACGTAAAAGCATTTGCTCGGTCATTTTTGTGTAAAAAGCACACAAGTATTAGTTGTTCAAATAAATTAAATCTCGTTTCTATGTGTGCTAGTGTGCGTCCATGTAAACATGCATGCACTAGCTTACATTTGATACTGATATATTTGAGATGGTGGTTGTGGCAAAAAAAACCTGGAAGACAGAACCGGTGGAACTGGGACATTTTATTTACAGCAGTTATAATTTATTTTGCCTAAAGGACTAAAGCATTTAACAGAATGACAATGGGAAGACATCTTAAAAGTACTCTAATTATTTTGAACTGTTGATACGTATTGTTAAAACCATGTCTAGCAATTCAAGCTTTCAAAAAGGCTATTGTTAACAATATACTTCAACAATAGAAATGAATTAGAAAACCTAGGCATTGATCAACAAGAAGTTATTCTATTTCCTTTGACTTGCCTACAAAATTAATACCTGTGAACAATCATAATTTTCAGAGGTTTTTGTTGTAAAAAAAAATATGAAATTCCTGCTTGTAATTTCCAAATTTAAGACAAAACAATATAACAATAGCATTCTTTTGGGAGGTTACAGCTAAAAAGAAACCTAGCATTTGGAAATATGAAATTTGCATGTCTTCCTTACCTCAGCAATCATGTATGATAAGTAAGCCAAGAGCAACACAATTGCAACTTCACGATCTGTGGAATGTCTGTCAACGAAGATCAATGATATCAAGATAAAAACAAACTCAATGGCACACACATACTAGAAGTCAGATGTAACATTTCAATATGCATTCAAGATTAATAACATGTATCTTCCACTACATCAGACTTGATTTGGTACTTAATTAGATATTCTTGTTCGTGCAAGCTTATTATACTACCTAATAATTTCAGTGTATAAACTTTTTGTTCTTGGAGTCTTAGCATTATCTCAATATTCTTTAGAAAGTTGATTGATCCAGTTATCTGGTTGTTTTTAGCTATATTTTATAAGCTTAGCTTTTCATATCCAAGTTGGGCTATTGCAAGTGTAAGGGGTAGAAATTGCTACGGATCTCATCCCTCCACTTGAAGGATTCTGGCTGACCTAGCGGCACCGAGCTCCAGTAGCCTTTACCTCTCTTCGCCAATAGGACCTTTTCCTAAGGCAATCTTACATCGGAAGAGAGTCGTCTCCTCCCTGCCATATAAGTGAACATTTCCTATGGAGGAGGTACCCACTAGCGACCTGATCAGGTGCCTAGTGGGTACCTCCTCCATAGAAAGTGTTCACTTATATGGCAGGGAGGAGACGACTCTCTTCCGATGTGGGATTGCCTTAGGAAAGGGTCCTATTGGCGAAGAGAGGTAAAGGCTACTGGGGCTCGGTGCCGCCAGGTCAGCCGGAATCCTTCAAGTGGAGGGATGAGATCCGTAACGATTTCTACCCTTTACAAAAAAGGCGCCTTTTGGTGGACAGGATTCCCTCCCTCCGAAAGGATTTTGGTTGGCCTGCACCATTTCCTAAGGCAATACAGTAGCTTTTACCTCCATCCCACATCAGGTAGGAGTCGTCTCCCCTCCTGGGATCAGGTGGCTAGTGGGTACCTCCTCCATAGAAAGTGTTCACTTATATGGCAAGGGGGGAGACGACTCTCTTCCGATGTGGGATTGCCTTAGGAAAGGGTCCTATTGGCGAAAAGAGGTAAAGGCTACTGGGGCTCGGTGCCGCCACGTCAGCCGGAATCCTTCGAGTGGAGGGATGAGATCCGTAGCGATTTCTACCCCTTACAACAAGCATTTGAAATTTAACAAAGTAATGTTGCCTAGTTCTTTTTATTTTTTTTTTGAGCAAAATGCTGCCTAGTTCAAGTAGGCAGAAAATAGTAATGAGAGAAAAAAGAATCCCTAAATGACTTGAGACAACGTAACCTGATTTCATCAATTTAGTTACTTTTCTTTGACTGATTCAGTAATAAGGTGTTATTCCTTTCCTTATATTTCTTCATTTCATCTATGTTTCATTCTAATTAGTTACTTTTTCACTAAATGATTCATTAAGTTTTTTGGTTCCTCTATTTTTATAATTTTTCCATTTCAGTTTTTTTTTTTTTTCAAATTAGTTTTTATTACATTCCATACATAGACTCAGCAAGAAGTTCGTATTCCTTACTTAAACTTCTTATCGACCTCAGAATTCAGTAACAACAGATAGGACTTATTCTTTCTTTTATTTGTTCATGTTACTATCGTTTCTTATTAAATCCATTTTTCCAATCCCTGATTCAGTAAGTTCTTTTATATCTTCATTAAAATTATTGTCAAATTATTTTTGTTTTTCCACTCATAAATAGTTTGGGAAACAAGGAAGTTCATATTCCTTTCCTAAACTTCTTAGCAGCAACAGAAGTAATGAAAGATAAAATTTAGGACATATATCTATTACTGAATAATGTTCAGGATGTGAAGATTATAGTTTCTTATCTGCCTAAACATGTTTGAAATATCTAGACAAGTCAGATCATTTGCTGCCTGGCAAGTGTCATTGTGTCAACCATCTACTGTACATCTAAGTAACAAATTCTTAGGCAAGCAGAGATATGAATAAATGAGGGCAAGCCAATCCAACACTAGAATCTAGATACTGGTAATGAGAAAGAAAAAGTACTGTATTGTACCTCCCAAAGTAAAGTGTCTTTATTCCGTAAGCACTTAAAAGACCAACCTGAGATATTGGCAAATATAGCAAGTCAGATAATGGTGCATTCCCATAAACCTCGATATTTTATTCAGTAATGTCATTCAAGTTTAATGTGGCAGGGAAACCACCGACTTAGAAGTGCAAAGGCCTGGACAATACTTTTATTTCAATGTGAAGCTAACTGACCAGCCATTGCTTAGACCACACTTGGGCCTGTGATGGATGGAGTTGAGCCTCCTTTCTAACAGACATGAAGTGCCTAATGCCCTCGTAAGTTGGTGTCTGCAGCTAGAGTTTGGATGATTCTGATTATGTGAGTTTGTAATAGAATTTTCTTGGTAATTTAGTGACTTAACTTCAGTGATCGGGGTATATACTTGGACAACACAGTTGTGGTCATGACTTCATTTTCTTAACTGGGTGCCTACAGTAGTTCGATAGTTCCGTATCCTTTTCTTGACAGGCCAGGTTCCTATAAGAAGACTACTACCATTTCTGAAGTCAGTGGTCAAGAAAGGAAAGCTGAATGACAAACTACATTCTAAATTTGACATCTGTTTGTGCTTTTTCCTGTGTCATTTGAATGTGAGAGAAGAACATATAATTGTCTCCCAAGGAAGATAATCAATGAAAAATCAGTCTTGGACTAGGACACAATTACAAGTGGTGCAGATTTGAGGTCCACGCTGTGGGATTTGGCAAAAAACTAAATTTAATCTCAATATATCCATTTCACATGATTAAAATAGTTAGAAATTTCCTTACTGCTATGCCAAGAGCAGTGCTAGTGAAGAAGAGGTACAGGAAGGTCCACAACAAGTTTAAAGCTGTGATGACATCAATGTTCCTGAAGTCGATTGATTGGACAGCATTGAAAAGCACAATAGAGGTAGCATCATTCACTACTCCCTCCCCGAATACAACACTGTAAAGGAAGGGTGTTTCTTCTTGATTGAGAACCTTCAGTGAGAGAAAAACATATATAATGAATGGCATGCAACAAGTTTCATGTAGAAATCCATTCACCATGTTTTGGACTGAGATATGTGGATGTACCTGCAATGTACAAACTGAATCTGTTGCTGACAAAATTGCACCAATAGCTGCAGGCATATATCGTGCTTAGATAGTCAACATCTATGGAAGAAGTTGAAGTATGAAAACCTATTTACCAACTACAATCACCTAGGTAATCTTGTAGTTTCAGTGCTGTAACACCAATCCTTCGAAAGAGAAACATAGCACCTACAAAGTTTCAAAAAGCACCAGTTAATACGACTCCACAATCTGGTTGGAACATAGAATCAGGGGCATGAGTGTTAAATGACACTGAAAGAATAGGGTATCCTTGTGATGATACATGAAGTACGCCCGACAGAAGATAAAACTGGACTATGTAACCCATAACATTCTTAAGGACACTAACTTTCTGAAAACCTGAAAGGATAATTTAATTTTTTAGCTTTCAAAGAAAGGATAATGCTTCATTTTCTTTTCACATAAAACGAGTTGGTTCAATGATGCTTTAAATGTGAGTGGATTGGGAGATGCTAAGGGTTGATTTTCCAGTCTCATGCATTTACAGTTGCACTGTCATGTTTATGCATTTATCACACATTAATGACATCATAAAAAAAAATAGCAGCTATTAAAGAAAGAGGTGATGGAGTCGTGGAAGATGGTATTGGGCTCTTATTATGGTTCTATGACATCAGTTTTGATGGTGGTTCTAGATTTCCAAATGTTAGCTTGCAAGATGTCACTTAAGATGATTTTTCAAAGACTTGAACATGCCAAAGAGAATCACTACCTACACGATTGCAATAAGAGCTGGACTCCTCTGAGGAAAGGGCTTTGTATCTGCCAGAGCATTAACAGTCCTCTAAGGCCTAAACAAGGTCCGATTTTGCAATATTTTGGTGGTTTATTTTTTATTTGACAACTCAGTATGGTTTTTTCAATGTGCCCTGGCCACTTTTCACCAGCTCCCCTCTTTCACGTGCTTCGTATTGCTCACCTATCTCATTGGACAAATGGGATGAAGTGAACTTTAATAGCTTTTGCCTCCCTTCCAATGAATAGGTGTATGATATATGGATATATCCTCTAAACATTTTCTAATGAGGGAGTGTCCTAGAAGAATTATTTGAAATTCATCTATCCTGATACGGATTTCTGAGTTAATTTCTTCTTCAAATCATCTGAGAATGCCATGAGCATTTTCCTCTGCATTCTCTGGGGCACCCTCAAAGAAAGGGGCAAACCGTAACTCAGAAGTAGTTACAATTCAGAATTGAAAGGAACAATATTGTTGAAAGATATAGCTAGGGCGATACAACCATCAGTGAATGGGGCACCAGAGACTGCAAATCTTACCAAGTGAAATGAGGCAGAACGATATTATCGTACCAAATATCCCGTGCAACAAAATTACTGAGAAGTTCTCAAAGAACTGTTTTTTCTTGACCTGGAATCTGGAGACAATCAAACTTTATAGATTCAACAAGCAAATTTGCGCAGTATTTTAAGAAAATGGTTAAATCATTTGCTGCTATAACAAAGAGACAACAAATCCAATCAGACTGCCAAACACACAATCTCACTTAATTCAACCCCCAAATAGTAATTACTAAAACTAAACCACTCAAAACTGTCTAGTTTTCTTGAAAAAAAGGACTTCCAGACTAACACAATCCAGTATAACAATAAAAAAATCAATCTAGTTACGCAAAAACAATCTCTCTCACACATAGAGGGAGACCTATATCTCACCCAGCATTGAAAATGATCGGGGGCAGCAAATAGATGAAGAACAAATCTTCATTGAAGACGAGGATGCGCGAGCTTTGGCCCTTACTAAACAATAAAACAACGACCCCAGAAACCAAACCCTGTGCCCAATAAAACGATACTGAAGATAAGAATTACACACAGATGCCGAACTAATCAAAAACCTATATGCTCAAAACAATCAAGATTAAAGTATAGTGGCACTAGCCAGCAAAAGGGCAGTGATTGATTCATTCGCCCAGCGGTTCTCTTCAAGGAGGTGACCAATCACTATGCAAGCACAGAGGAGGCTCACAAACACAGTAATGGCAACTACAGTGCCTATGTCTAGAAATGAGGAGGTGGGTAGTGTAATTTGAAGTGGAAATGTTTCAGAGAAAGCCATTTCTTGAACTCTTTTTGTACATTTGGCATTCACAATTTGATTTTGAAGAAATGGAAACACGAGAAAACTGCAGTGCCAACTAATTAACAACAAAACTATTTTGCTCAAAATGAACTCTATGGATATATTTGTTATGTGGCTTATAAAGGGAACTCTCTAAGACTTTGGAGACCAGACGGAGGGAAGAATGGTTGTTGCTGCGGATTGGGTTTCTCTGAGATAAGAATGTTTGCAATTTGGTACAACCTTCCATGTGGCACCCGACAATTGCACCAGGTATAATAGAGACAAATTACGTATGGTATGTCAATTACAGTATCATCCCTCTATTTTTGTGGAATGATAGTTCTGTATTTAAGGTTTTGTGCTGTAAGACTTTGGTTGGTGACAGGTGGATGATTGCAGTGTTTCTTTGTGAATTGTTTTTCTGTGCTCCTGGACAATAAAAAAAAAAAAGGAGTGGTTGGGTTGGAACTTGGAAGAGTTTGTGGCTGTTACTTACGCTTGACATTTCTGGAAAAGGTCTTGTGCTCGTGTTGAGTAGAGGTCACTTTCGACCCATTCAGCCAATTAGGTAAGATGCCATCCCTGTCTATCTTGACCTGTATGTTAATCTTTTTATGTGTAGGTTGGCTTGGCACGGATGATTCGCGAATTAAAATCCTAAAATTAGAACTCATTTATCGAGAACTGCATTAAGATTTAAGCAATCAAAGAGGTAATTGATGTACATATGGAGGAGTTTTACATGAGATCAAATACGTTTAACATACAAGATATGTTATAAGGAGATAAGATAAATTTAAAGATAACTAAAATTCAAATAGAAGTGAGATAGATCTTGTGAACTCTTAATTTATCATGTCCCGCAAACTAATGGGTCAAGGGAGAACCATGAGTTTGGCTTTAAGATACTGGAACCAGGTGGAAGAAAGACCCTTTGGGTCCGTTTGGTTAAGAAGAAATAAATGATGAAAAGTGAAAATGATAAAAAGTGAAGTGAAATAAAAGAAAATGATAGAAAATATATTTTCACACATGTATTTGGTTAAAATGAAAAATTTATTGAAAAGTTTAAAAAAAAATTCATTTTATTTTTGAAATAAAGAAAAATTATAAAAATAAAATTTATAATTATCTAAATTACCCTTAATTATATTAAATCGGTCTAAAAAAGAAAAAAATATGTAATTATAATTGAAAGTTAAATTTTTTTTAAAAAATGACTCAAAACTTAATTTTAAGACAATCACCAATACAAAAGTCTTTGGCCCAAATTGAATGATTAATCAAATTCATATCAAAAAAATTTTAAATTAATAACCAATAAAATATTATTTAAAAAAAATGGTAAAATAGAAAGTTAGTTATGGATCACAACTTTCTTTCATTTTCTTGTGTTTTTTACAAGAAAAAAAATTAGGTTATTTGTAAAAAATTCAAGCATGAAAGAAAATTATTTTTTCCATTATTTTATTTTTCATGCTAATGAAACACATGAAAATTTTAAAAAATTTCTCTTTGTTGTATTTTCTATCATTCTCCCACTAAACAAACAAACCTTTTGTAAATATGTTGGTCACTTGATCGATTGTATGAATGTAACGAACATAAATTTTTTTTTGAACGACCTTATCAAGAATATAATAATAATAATAGTGAACCTCAATATATTTAGTGCGTGCATGAAACACAAGATTTGACGCCAAAGCAAACTTATGTTATCACATCCAATAAGGGGTGTCGTGGGAAGAAAAATCCGAAGATCTTTGAACAAGAAACGTGACCAAGAAATTTTAGCTGCTGTGTGAGCTAGTTGGGGATATTCAGATTCCATACTCGAGTGTGAAATTGTGTTGTGCTTCTTTGCACTTCATGAAATGGGACTAAGACCAAGGAAAATGCAAAACCTGTCGGTGGGCCGCCTGTTGGATGGACAACCGACGTAGTCGGCATTTGATTAGGCCTTTAGCCGTAAACGACTAAGTTGAAACATAAATTGGCACACCTAATTGGCAAGCTAATGTGTCGATGTCGGTTGATGCATAAATTGGCACACCTAATTGACTGAAAAGGCGAGGTCCAAACGCATGAGTGTAAGACATTGCAATGTGCCAACATCACTCCAATAGTCAGTCAAATCGTCAAGGAGATGGCCATCCTCAATACTTAGTTTAGTGCCAGTAGCACAAGGCAAAGAGCAAGGTTTTTCTTCGGCCATATGGGTGCAAGTAAATAGTTCCAGAGCATAACGGGTCTATGTCACAAATAAGTGACCACCAACCCAAGAAAATTGTGTAAATTACACAGGTACTTCATCGAAAAAAGTTTCCCCAAATCTTGGAATAAGGTGTTGGAGATGTGAAGAACTATTTTTAATAAGAAAAATATCATCGACATAAAAAAGGACAAACATGGTAATTTCATAAGTAAAAAGAGAGTAATTAGTCTTGAATTCCACAAAACCTAAATCTTCAAGATAATCGAAAAACCGTGGAAACCATGCTCATGGAGATTGTTTGAGTCCATAAAGAGATTTGGGCAAATGGAAAACATGATTGGGAAAATCAGGATTCTTAAAACCCTTAGACTATCTCATAAATACTTCTTCTTGCAGCACCCCATGAAGGAATGCGTTTTGAACATCAAGTTGTCGTTGAGGCCATTTGCGGAAAATAGCAATGGCAAGGACTGTTCGAATGGTTGTGTGCTTGATGACTGGGCTAAACGTCTGTGTGTAATCCAAGCCACGTTCTTGATGAAAACCGTTAGTGGAACTAGAGACCAAGTTCCATTTTTTTTTTGCAGGGTTGCGAATTTTGAGCACATTGCCTTATGCCATTCTAGAATCTTATCTGCGGTTGTGATGGAGAAGGGTTCCACGTATCACAAGTAATCTGGCCATTAATGGCTTGCTTAAGATTTCGTTTTCGAGTCCCAACCTGGTTCCGGGTTGACATCAGATGTGTGCGAGAAGAAGGAACAGACAATATAAAATCTGGACACGGAGAGAGCAATGAAGCCACATCATGCGTAGTAGATCGAAAGATGTTAGAAGTAGGGGATAAGTGATCAGTAGACATCCCAGCTATGGACTGATTTACGGGTAAGACAGGAGCCGTTGGAGATGAATTTGCCGAAGGAGATGTAGCTAAGGGTGGCTGAGGCAGAGACAGTTATGAATGGAGGGTGGTCTGGTTCTGCTTTAATTGTGGCAAGGACAAATAAGAATAAAAAACAATTCCTGGGGAGATGCTGTCCATGGTGACCGTGAAATTAGGCTTACCAGTGCCCAGTTTTAATGGAAAACATCCTTTGTAAAAGATTACAAAGCGAGACAAATAGACACGCCCAGTTGCACTGTCAAGGCAGCGATATCCCTGCTGATTGAGTGAATAGCCCAAAAAAACACATTGTTTAGAACAAATTTCAAGATTATTTTTGTTGTAGGGGCAAAGATATGGATAACAAGTACACCCGAACTCCGGAAGAAAAGAATAATTAGGAGATCGATTAAATAATTGTTCATAGGGAGAGACATAATGTAATTCTTTGGCAGGAAGCCGATTAAGAAGATAGAGAGAAGCATTGAAATCTTCTACCCAGAAGTTGGATGGAATTTCAACTTGAGCCATAAGAGTTATGTCAATCTTAACGAGATGACAGTGTTTCCATTTAAATACTCTGTTTTGTTCAGGGTTGTGAGAACACGAGACCCAATGGGCAATACCATTGGTAGTTAAGAAATTCTAAAATTGAGTTTTATTGTACTCACCCCCGCCATATGATTAAATTGATTTAATTTTGCATGAGAACATATTTTCTGCACAAGCCTCAAACTAAAGAAATATGTAAATGTCTCGTGTTTAAATCTCATTGAAAAAATTAATGAATATTGGGAAAATCATCAATGAACAAAAGATAATAATTGGATCCCTTTATTGAATAATTTGGCGATGTCCAAATGTTAGTGTGTACAAGTTCAAAAGGACGAGAAGCAATAGACTTAGATAACCAAAAAGGTAAATGACAACTCTTTCCTAAAAAACATGAAACATAAAAATCAATGTCCTTAACGGAACCGCATAAAGGGAAAGTTGGAATGCAAGCAAGCCGCAGTAAAATTGAAAAATATGGATGGCTTAAACGTTGATCTCGAATGGATGAGACACCCGTTCACCAGTAAGTGCAAAAGGCAGTAGATGTTGACATTGAATTTGGTAATGGAGTCGCATTGGATGTAGCCCATTTTCATTCTTTCCGTGGAAAAGCATCTTTCCCATCCGAACGTCCTTAACAGAGAAACCATCAGCAGTGAAAATAAAATAGCAATTATTATCACGAGAAAACTGATGAACGAACAATAGATTAACAGAAATATTAGGACAATGTAAAAGCATGGTTCATGTGAAAAGGAGTGGAGTCATGATGAAGGGTTAAAGAACCTATTTTAGAAATGGCCAAACCTGCGCCATTTCCAACTACTACTCTGTCGGTGCCGTCATATAAATTGTTTAGGGAAGGATTGGAAAGTTCTGGAGTAACATGAGTGGAGGCGCCACTGTCTGTGATCCATGTTTGTTCATTCACGGGGCTGGAATAGTTAGCCACCATAATAGCAAGGCGTTTTGTTAGAATGCGAACCTCATAAGCTTGGTTCATCCATTGATAGATATCAATGGCAATGTGACCTTGGCGCCCATATATCTGGCATGTCATGTTGCGAGAAGAACCCTTCAAATTATAGCCTAAAAAGGGGGAACAATTTTTTGAATTGTATGTATGCAGAAGAGGAGCTTTTGACCCATCCATGGGGTTAGAAAAAAAATGTTCCAAATAATGGTTGGTTTTAATGTAATTCTCAAACTTATGTTGTTTTTAAAAATGTCAAATAGACTGACGTCTTTGTGTTAAAAACGTAAGTCCATTTGACGTTTTTAACACAAAGACTGTGGCCCACATCCAACTTAAAAAGGTCAAATGGATTGACGTTTCTATTTAAAGACATCAAACCGTTTAACATCTTTAAATTGACTGTCTACCTGACTTTCCTTTAATTCAAAGTCTGACTTTCTCTTTAACTCGATGTCTTTCTATATTTGTAAGAACAACACCCTATAAAAGACCAAATCAAATCTATGAAATGTTAGTAT